GAGAGGAGAGGAGAGGAGAGGAGAGGAGAGAAGAGAAGACAAGAGGAGAGGAGAAAAGAAAAGAGAAGAAAAGAAAAGCGAAGAGAGATGAATAGATTGATGGATAGATAGATAGTTAGATAGAGGAAGAGAGAGAAAAAGAAAAAAAAATAACAAAGAGAAGAAAGAGAAGAAATAAGAAAAAAATATATAGAGGGAGAAATGAACATGGGACAGAAAGAGAGAGAAGAATTAAGAAAAAAATATAGAGGGAGAAAAGAACATCGAACAGAAAGAGAGAGAAGAAATAAGAAAAAAATATATAGAGGGAGAAAAGAACATGGAACAGAAAGAGAGAGAAAATCGGTCATTTGGTGCCAAGGAGCCTCCTTCGCGCCTCCGTCGTATACAACAACACTAGTCATTGTCACCTCGTTTCGAAGTGTCAGAACACGCCTTCTTCATATTTCTTTTTTCCCCTTTTTTCTTGAGATGTTGAGATCGGAGGATAACGTGTCATTCTTTAAAAGCGGCGTTTAGTTTCTTAGATATAAGCATAAATATCATATGGTCAGTAATTGTTCAGATCAGAAAAAAATTAGAAAGTAATGTTTGTACAAAACTGAAGTCTTTTTTTCTTGAAGATTGCGAGTCGTAAATAATATGAAAAAAGTAAAAAAAAAGGAGGAGGAGGAGGAGGGAAAAAATAGGAGAAGGAAGAGGGAGAGGAAGGGAAGAGTTGGAGGAGGAAGAGGAGGAAGAGGAAGGGAATAGGTGGAGGAAGGGAAATGGTGGAAGAAGGGAAGAGGTGGAAAAGGAAGAAGAGGAGAGGAGAAGAGGAAAGAGGAGGGGGATGGGAGGAAGAGGAGGAAGAAAAGGAGCAGGAGGAGGAGGAGTAGGAGTAGGGAAGGGGGAGGAGATGAGGGGGGGTAAGAACTAGATATCACCGCCGTCTCCGTGTATGCATATTATGTTAATTTCGACGGTCTTTCGTACATGATTATCTGGCGATCAAGGGAAATTATGGCGGCGTGAGGTAATTACGTGTAATGGCGTGAGTGCCTCGGGGGGGTTGGGGGGGGGGTTGGTGGGCCTTATGGGTCGGGGAGGAGGAGGAGGGGGTGGGGATGGGGAAGGAAGGTGGGGAGGACGGGTAGGGGAGGGATTGGTTGTGGGGGGAAGGGGCGGAGAGGGGGGTGGGTAGGGTGAAGGTAGAGGAGGCTGGGGGTATGGGTAGTGGGAGGAAGGGGAACGGGTAGGGGGTGGAAGGTGGGGGGGTAGGTAGGTGGGGGGGATGTGTGGGTACTGGTAGGGATGGCATTAATCTTTTTTATTTTTATCTATTAATTTATTCGTTTGTTTGTTTTCGTTAGCCGGTTGTGATTGACGGGATTTTTTTCAGTATTATTATTATTTTTTTCGCGTTGGAAGTAATGAAAGAAAAATCCCCTCAAAGAAAAATCTTTCAGGGGAAGATTTTTACAATAATTAATGATTCAGTTCATAGTAATGATCTTCTCACTGCATTTTAAAAATTTCGTTGACCGTCTGTGCATAAATCTGTGCATTTGTATTTATTATCGCTCTTTAACAAAGACACGGAAGTAACCGACTAAAAAAATCCCATCCATCCATTCATTTGCTTATTTCTTCGTCGCAAATGGACACCAAACCACAAAATCCTGTCCACTTTCCCGCCCGCCCGCCCACCCGGCCGCCCATCTTAGGGTCTCACTATCTAAATCCAATTAAACTCACCGTAGTAAATATGGCCGCTACCTTCTCCCTCTCTCTCTCTCTCTCTCTTCCCCTCCTTCCTTTCCTTTCCCTGCCTTCTCTTCTTCTCTCTCTCATCGTTCCTTCCTTTATCCTACTCTTCGTTTTCGGTTTTGTTTTGTTCTGTTCTATTTGCTTTTCTTCTCTTTTCTCCTTTTTTTTAATTTTTTTTTTTTGTTTTTCTCTTCTTCTCTTCTCTTCTCTTCTCTTCCCTTCTCTTCCCCTTTATCCCCTCCCCTCCCCTCTTGCTCTCCCTCCCCTCTCCTCCCCTCCCCCTCTCCTCCCCTCCCTCCCCTTACCTTTTCTCCCCTCCCCTCCCTTCCATCCATTCTCCAGCGACACCTTTCCCTCCCCCCTCCCCTTCCCCCCTCCCCTTCCCCCATCCGACCATGTGTGTTCGATGATCCGCATGTTACCTAACTTTCGGGCCGGATAATCGTCTCCCTTAATCTGGCGGGAAGATCTTCGTGGCCTGAGGCTACTTTGTGCGTGAGTGCGTTTGTCTGTCTCTGGCTTTGAGGGTGTCTTGGCGGTTAGGAGGGCGGGGGAGGGAGGGAGGGAGGGGTCGTGGATGTGTTTATGTTCTAGTTTATTTAGAAGTATCTTTGTTAATAGTCAAGAAAAGTGTGTATTTTTGATGATTTTTTTACAGAACATTTTACCAAAAGGGTTATTTACTCGATTTGTTTCGGTTTACGTATTTCTGTTTACGTAGTTCTGTGAAATGATACCGTTTTCTCTATCAAACTTTTTTTTTTCATGGGACGGATAATGCGCAGCAGGTGAGAAAAAGAAGAAAAAAAAAATACGCCTCATAATCATTTTTAATTTACATCTCGTGTCCCTCTTGCCCTGGGGGCGATTTTGTAAAACAAGTCGTAGGCCTACAGACGACGAGACTACGAGGGCCCCTCCACACGAAAGCATTTAGGCTTGTTTATGCGCTGACATCTTGCCTTCACTTCCTTGTTTGCGTTGAGGGGTCCGACCCGCCACCTGCTTTTGTCTGCTGGCTCCTCCGTCTGCTTGCTCTCCGCTGGCTCCTGCTGTGAGGGAGGAAGGTCAGGGAGTGAGGAGGACACACGTGGTGAAGGCTGGAGAGATACGTTATGAGGGCTGGAGGGATACGTGGTGTGGGCAGGAGAGACACTAGCGAGGGAAGAGGAAACACATAGAGATGGTATTGGACGTGATGAGGGCATAGGAGACACTAGTAAGGGCAAGAGCGACACACTTGAGGGCAGAGGAGGCACTTGTAAGAGCAGGAAAGACACTCGTAAGGGCAAGAGAGGCACACGAGAGGGCAGAGGAGACACTCGTAAGAGCAGGAAGAGACACATGATGAGGGCAAAGGAGACACGTGCCAGGGCATAGGAGACACGTGGTGGGGGCGAGTAATTTTGCAATAAACTGACGACGGGCGGGGATGGTTACTGCGGTTTCAAAGGTGATATGACGAGGGACGTGGGTGGGGGCAGGCAGGTGGGTGGATAAAGAACTGATGAATGTGTGGAGAACTCGCTGATGTGGATGAATTAGTGGATTTTTTTTATCGTACAGTGGAGTGGAGGAGAGGAAGAAGGGAGAGAGACGAAGGAGGGAAGAGGACAGGAGGTCGGAGAACAAATGAGAGTAGAAATAGCGAAAGGGGAGTGGGAAGGAAAGGGAAAGGGATAGAAATGAAAATAAAGACACAGACGGAATAAGAAAAAAGGGAGATATCTTATAAAAGTACGAGAAGAGAGAGGAGGAGGAGAAAGGAAGGAAGAAAGAAAGAAAGAAAGAAAGAAAGAAAGGAAGGAAGGAAGGAAGGAAGGAAGGAAGGAAGGTTGGAAGAAAGGAATAAAGAAATAAATAAAGAAATAGAGGGCATGAGAAGCAGAGAAAGGGTCGAATAGAAGGGAAGGGATGAGGGGAGGGAAACGGGGAAGTGGGAAGCGAAGGAGGGAAGAAGGAGGGGAAGAGGGTAGGGGAGGGGTAGGGAAGGAGGGAAAAGGGGAATGGGGAAGAGGAAAGGGAAGGGAAGGGAAGTAGAAGAGAGGAGTAGGGGAAGGGAGTAGTGGGGTAGGGGAGGGGTCAGCCGGCCGGATTTAACCCCCCCCCCCCCCCCACCGCTCCTTCCCCGCCCATCGCCGGTGGCTGACCCTCATTACATCAGGGGGCCGCGATGTCCACGCCGATACCCTTGTTTACACTCAGTTCCTCTTATCACCGCCTTTACCCCCCCCCACTCCTACCCCCTTCCCTTATCCATCCCCCGCCCCCGCGTTAACGACCCCCCCTCCCCCCGCCTCGGATATGACCTCCCTCCCGCCACCACACCCTGAGTTTGTCCTCCCTCGCTCCCTTCCTTCTCCCTTTCTTCCCTCGCTCCCTTCCTTCTCCCTTTCTTCCCTCCCTCACTTTCTCCCTCGCTCCCTTCCTTCTCCCTTTCTTCCCTCGCTCCCTTCCTTCTCCCTTCTTCCCTCGCTCCCTTCCTTCTCCCTTTCTTCCCTCGCTCCCTTCCTTCTCCCTTTCTTCCCTCGCTCCCTTCCTTCTCCCTTTCTTCCCTCGCTCCCTTCCTTCTCCCTTTCTTCCCTCGCTCCCTTCCTTCTCCCTTTCTTCCCTCGCTCCCTTCCTTCTCCCTTTCTTCCCTCGCTCCCTTCCTTCTCCCTTTCTTCCTCGCTCCCTTCCTTCTCCCCTTTCTTCCCTCCCTCACTTTCTCCCTCGCTCCCTTCCTTCTCCCTTTCTTCCCTCGCTCCCTTC